CCCCCCCCCCCCCCCCCCCCTTCCTGTCCCACCGGGCCCTCCTGAGCAGCTCTCAGCTGGGCCCCGGCAGGGGAGCAAGTGGCGGCAAGCAGCCCTTTGGGCCCAAAAGGCCGCTTGCTGCTGCTTCCTCCCCCGCCAGGGCCCGGCGGGAGCGCTGCTCAGCTGAGTGGCGCAGTGTGCAACGGAGGGAGGGGTAGAGGGTGGGGCTGGCCTGAAGGGGGATGGGAAGCAGAGCTATGTGGCTGGGGAGGGGAATCAGGGGTTGTGGGACTTGAGGGGAGGATTGGGGGCACTAAAGGGCTGCTTGCCGTCACTTGCTCCGCTGCTGGGGCCCAGCTGAGCAGCACAGCACTGGGCCGAACCACCACAGAAGAAGGGAAAGGGGCGCGGGGAGCTGACGTGTACACGGCCAGGGGCCGTGGCCCTGTACGTCAGCGTTACAGACGCACAGACAATGGGCTACTATATATATGATTCCTTGGCCTTGTCTGAAATGTATCTGGATATGTTAAGAATGAATTAAAGTAGAAGTAGGGCTAGAAAAACAAGAAGTAACCTGCTGCGGTAGATCTTGTGATAATGTATTTTACTAGAAAAGTTGTATCCAGGTTTTCTGACAATTTAAGAAATGTGGAAGACATTCAATAATCTACATAAGAACATACAAATGGCCATACTGGGTTAGACCAAAGGTCTCTTTAGCTTAGTATCCTGTCTTCTGACAGTGACAAATGCCAGGTGCCCCAGAAAGAATGAACAAGAACAGGTAATCATGGAGTGATCCCTCCCATTACCCATTCCCAGCTTATGACATTCAGAGGTTAGGGGTACAATTTCTGCCCATTCTGTCTAATAAGCATTAATGGACCCTTTATGAAATTATCTAATTCATTTTTTGAACCCTGGTCTTCACAACATGCAAGGAGTACCACAGATTGGCTGTGTGTTGCTGGAAGAAATACTTCCTTTTGTTTGTTTTAAACGTGCTACCTATTTCATTTGGTGACACTTAGTTCATATGTTATGGGAACAAGTAAATACTTTTTCCTTATTCACTTTCTCCACACTAGTCATGATTTTATAGACCTCTATCACATCCTCCCTTAGTCTCCTCTTTTCTAAGTGGAAAAGTCAGTCTTTTTATCTCTTCATATGACAGCTGTTCCAAACCCATAATAATTTTTGTTGCCCTTTTCTAAACTTTTTCCAATGATAAAATATCTTTTTTTGAAATGAGGCGAGCACATCTGTACACAGTATTCAAGATGTGGGCATACCATGGATTTATACAGAGACAATAAGATATTCTCTGTCTTACTATCTATCCCTTTTTCAATTATTCCTAACGTTCTGTTTGCTTCTTTGACTGCTGCTGCACATTGAATGAATGTTTTGAGAGAACACTTTGCTTTTTAGTATCAGTTATTTATCTCTATTCACGTTCATCTTTTCTTTCAGTCACTATGTTAAAATTGCTTGTCCCAACAGAACCAGTATGATTGGATCCACCAAAAAACTTTTTACAACCAGAATCTCTGTAGGGCCTGTGCAATACAGGGTATGAACAAGTAGTAACAAAAAACGCTGTTATGAAGAACAGTCTACATAAGAAGAAACATGCAAAAGCATGAAGTAAAATAACAGGCCCTGTTAACTACCTCCATCCAACTCTCTTCCCCAAAGCATATATGAGATTATATAAACCTCCTAGGCATGAATACGTAGCCCTAAATAGTTAAGCCTGTGTGTTTTTACTTTTTGTGGAATTCTGATCATTAGAACAATGTTTTTCTGTAATTTTCAGATTAAAATAATACTTTGCTATACAGAAGAGTGGACTTGGTAAAATCAGATTATTTTGGGGGCTTAGGGGGAAGGATGTAACCATATGAAGACTGCTATGCATTAAGGACTGTATAGTTTTCTGTTTTGCTGTCAGTTTTAATGTTAATATGTCTTCAATTTTTAAAAGGAGTAACTATGGTGACAACTGCTGTGGTGGAATTGCATTCACCTGTTAAAGTTAAGACAACACTGAAACTGGATTTCCAATTCGACTCGCTCACTTTGGTATTGTACAGTCCAAATTCTAAACAGGTAAACAAAATGCCATGTTATCAAAGACAACAAATCAGTAGTGTTATTGAAAATGTTGGCAACTCTGAACAGAAAAATGTTGTAATTAGAGTATGTTACACAGGAATAGCTTAAGGACAGTAATTACTAACTGCAGTCACAGATTTATTATAAGAGTCTGGAGATTAACCAGTCAACTACATCACTTCACAATGCTACAGAAAACAGAATAAGTAAATTCAATATCTCTGAAGTCTCTGTGATTTGATTTCACATTTTCCAGAAAATCTAACTTTGGATAAAACAAAGCATGAAGCTACAGATAGATTTGCTTTGTTTTTGATGAAATTGTAGAAGTGGGTTGAAAATTGGCATTGTAATATGAAGTTAGCTTCAATCTTAATGTGCTTCAAAATCATCATACATGTCAGCTAATATGTTCTTAGAAGGTTATTTAATTTGGCGTGTGTTCCCTTGAAAATCTATTTACATTTTGCCATGAGTTTAACTCTTGATAAGTTAACTAGTTTTGTCTTTAACCTTTTAGAACAGAGTCATGTTCCTTAACTAGCAATAGAGAAATTTACATGTTTATTTCTGTCACTAAATAATAGAAGGTTTTACAAGGTCTTACACGTCCTCTCTTTTCAGAAACCTGGATTAACAATTTTGATAACTGTTACAGACTATAACTGTTGCAATACTACCTGATTGCTAATGGGAACAGTACTAAACAGTAGCATAGGAGAGTCCCCAGTGGGGTCAGAGTTGGAAGACCTGGTTGCTTCACATCTTTTGCAATACAGTCCATGGTATAGGATTAGAAAGTCAAAGTGGCTGTATTGCACTTTACTCCAGCTTTGTATAATGTATGGTCTATAGGGGACTGCTTCTAGCTGGGGCAAATTAGAGCAGCTCCCACTCCTCAGCTGCTGTATCCTGAGCTTACCTAGAGGATCAAAGGGCTTTAAATAGTTGTTGTTTCTCAGACCGCAGCTCCACTGCAGGGACTACAAGAGCATAACAACAGCACTATAAAATTTGCCAGCACAACCCCAGGCAGTAGACATGGTCTGCAGCAATAGAAGTAATTTTTTTTTCCTTCACTGTAGGAACACCACCTTTCTGAGTAGCAGTGGCTATATATGAAAGCGTTTTTCTATTGTCCTACCTATGCTACAGTTGGAGTTGGGTCAGAATAGCTATGGAGTTTACGAGTATGAATTTTTCACAGACCTGAAGTGCCACAGCTATGTCAACTTAAATTTTAAATGTAGGCCAAGCCTCAGCTTCTTCTCTTCTTCCTGATGTGCGGAAATGGCAAAGTTTTATTTAAAAAAAAAATCTAGTAAAAAGTAATAAAACTAGTTTAATTTTTTCAAATTTTGAAAGTTTCTTATTCTTTTTAATAACTGATTACTTGAACCTAATGAAAATAATGCTTTAAAAATTTGTTTTCTTGTCTAAATTGCCATATCCTTCTGCCAGAGGAGCACATTATTTCCACTTGCTTATTATAATACACTAAATATAATACTTAGCCTTCGTGGAGCTGTGTCTGTATATCTGATTGATTTAATGGTACTGTAGTGATTAGATTTAACTGTACATTTACCTTTTTAATCTTAATTTAATGTAATTGCAATTAATACTCGGGGAATACTACACCAAAAATTAAAAATTCTGCATATATTTGAAAATTCCTCTAGATTCAGCATATTTTATGTCAAAATAACATAATATAATTAAGCTCTTCTTCAAGTGATGTCCTCATGAATGCTCCACTATTGGTGACAGGTTGTCCAAGAGCCGGAAATCAGAGCTTTGCAAAGCAGTTTTCCCATTGGGCCACACACACGTGAAAGGTGCCATGTGGGATTTGTGCCTCAGCATCTCGTGCACCCAGCCGGACTCCTTCCTCTCTCTCTCTCTCTCTCTCTCTCTCCCCCCTGCCTCCGCTTCAGTTCCTCACTTACTGCCCTTGGTCGTGGATGGAACTTAATCTCTCGCCTCATAGTGTACTTAGGTTACTAAGTACAACAATTTGTTGTTTTTCCTTCATAGTGAGCTTATCATTAATATAAATTTTCCTCACGAAAGCCGATGCAGCTCGGTCACTCAGTGAGAGCCCTAATTTTTTTCCCAGTTCTATCCTTCCGCATTACTCTATTTTGTTTCCCCTGAGGAGGGAAAAAAAACGTTCAATACTGATCACGGACGACATGCCACACTCACCGGGGTTTAAAAAGTGTGTCACATGTCATGACCCCATGCCAGTCTGACGGACACTCATCTTGTATCTGGTGTCTGGGTGAGGCCCATTTCCTCAAAAATGTGAGCACTGCTGCAGATTGACATCCAGGGCCAGAAAAGAGAGAGCTCCACCTCAGAATGATCCTCTTCAAAAAGGCCCTGCAGTCTTCTGGGGCTCAACACTCCTCAGCTCCAGGAGCAGTCTTCTAAGAAAAGAGCTTCCTCCCGGCTGCCCAGGAAGACTTTTCAGAAGAGAGCTTCCCCAGCATGGTCTCTCCCTCCATCATCATCTCTCAGCGTCAGCAAGGGAAACAGATGTAGTACATCTGGTACCGTATTACCAAGACCCTCATCAGTTCGATGCCTCTGGAACTGACTTTGGCACCAGTCCAGGCATCTTTGGTGCCATCTAAGCCTCTTAAACTTTGGTACCAGCTTCCACTGTGACCTTCCACTTTGGCACCATTCACTATGGCCGAGCACTGACAAAAATCTCGGAACCAAACACTAAATTGGTGCCTTAAAAACATCTCATGCAGCACCGTTAAGCTTGGCACCAAGCCTGATCCCACAGCCTTCTGCCAGTGCTACAGGAACAGAAGAGCCAATTTACATTGCTCACTCAGCATGGGTGGCACCCGACTAAGGACCGCCAGCATTCGGGATTTATGGCACAGACCATCGTTCCCGCCCTGCCAGTAGAGATCCATCCCTGACACCATTGACCCAGAGCTCTCTGGGCCTCATCAGATCTCGTATGTTGTTGCAGCACAGTGTCCTGGGAAATGAGGACGACAAGAGTGTTTTCTCTTCACATCACTCCACTCCCACAGGCTCTTGGTCATATAATTATTGAGACAGACTTCACCATTATCCTTGGTATGCACATTGGCCATACCCTCTGCCCCAGTATCCACCCCAGAGGCCACCATGGGATGACTGAGGCTCGTATAGACACTGATCAATGGCATCCTCCTCACCAGCTAAGAGACACACCAGTCTCACCACCTTGTTCTCTTCTTGCACCTGAAGAGGAGGAGGGCCATATTCAGAGCCAAGATCCTGACCCTCAGGCCCCAGATACATCCCCAACCAACAATTCCTCTTTATTGCTCGACAAGGCAATCATTCCAGCAGCCTGGCCAACGATCTCAAACAATTTCAAGAACTTAAAAGTCTGACCGTGAGCCAGGAGGTTTCCCTTCAAGAGGTGGACAAGAAATAGCACCCGCTTTTGAAAAACATACAACTCACGCTACATGGCAAAATTGCCTTACCCATTGATGAGGCAATCATAGAGGCATCGGACAAGTTGTGGGAAACTCTAGCCTCCATTCAACCCACATGTAAGAGGGCTGACAGGAAATATTTTGTTCCTGAGAAGGACCTAGACTTTTTATTCATACACCCCCAACCAAACTCCCTCATTATGGAGGCTGCTCAACATCTATCTAAGCTGCCAAATTTCAGAACTATGGCCCACGACAAGGATCATGAGAAGCTGGAACTTTTTGGTAGAAAAATGTATTCTTCTGCTATGCTGTAGCTAAGAATTGCTAATTATTTGGCCGTTCTAGCAAATCTATCATGATTTTGATAACTACTCAAAATTGGGGGAGCTCGTGGAGCACCATCCTGACTCCAAAAGATTGATATTAAAAGCTGTAGTCCACGGGTGCCACACTATAGCCCATACAGCCCTGTTTGATCTCCTTAGATGTGGTAGACATGGCGGCAAGAGCAACTGCAGCAGCCATCGTGATATGCTGAGCATGTTGGCTGCAGGCTTCCAGCATTCCTCTGGAGCTTCAGTCTAAAGTAGAGGATCTTTCATTTGCTAAACAAAAACTGTTCTCTGTGAACTGGATGATGTGATGAACTTCTACTCCTGGTGGAATTCTGCTGCTCTGGGCTGG